TGGGCTGGGGAGGGGCAATCCGGGGGAGGGGTGCCAGGAATCAATGCTGGAAGAAATCCACAGAATTTGGCTGTGTGGGTGTGGAGGAGAGGATGCCAAATTGATTCCAGGTTTTAGAGCCCAGGCATCTAGGAGTACGATTTACAAACTACGGAACTCCACAGGAGCTGGTTTCTTGCCTCGGCATTCCAGTCCTGCGTCTTCCCATTTTATGTGCGTCTTAGGCTCCTTTCTCCGGTTAAGTTGCCTCAGGTACACTCCTCCTGGCCGTGGAATTGCCACCCACAGAGACCCCTTGGTTTCTCCTGGTGCACTCTCGCCTTACTGCTGCTTACTCGTGTGTCCGTCCTCCCGCCTAATTTTGTGCAGTGTGTCCTTCTCCCCAGCCTGGCACCCTTGCCCCTTCAAAATCCTCTAGCCCGCCAGGAATATGAGGCCCCTTCTGAGCTAGCCACAATAAGCATCATCATTTACTGGTTCCCAGCATTCCATTCTGCGGACTTCTTCATTTCGCCTTCTTGCCCAAAATACATTTTGGGTTGACTTTTCTGTTACTTCCTATCACAATTATTTGAATTGGTGAAATCAGGTACATGTGCATACCCAGTGGACTAAAAAAATGTCCCTAGAACCAATTTAAAGGACTACTGTCAAAAGTCTTTTAAAAATGTTTTATACATTCATTTTCCTTTTTTTCAACCGGAAAATGCCTCCATCTTCCCCCCCCCACACCACCACCACCCTTTTATTCGCTAGTGCCAGTATTACTTTGTTAAGAAGGAAGCCCAGTCTCTGCATAAATTCCATCTAGTAAAGATCCTTTAGTCCTCTCCGCCCCTAAAGCTAAACAGCCAGCTCTACAGACACACACATACACACGCGCTCCTAAGGCTCTCCGGTCCTTTGAGGCCCTGCTGTGTAATGATGATAGATGGCTACAGAAGCCACACCTTATCTTGGTTTCCAGTCTGTTGCCTGTCCAAGCTCAGTTCTGTCACCAAAACCTGCTTATTAACAATCCCACAAGTCTCACCACCGGCTCCTCCCACTCTCTCAAAAATCATCTGCCCATCCATAGTCTGTTGACTCAATCTTTGCAGTTTAGGTCAAGTCACCTTCAACCTTTTGTGATGCGCACAAACTCAACAGATCACCCGTTTGAATCCTAAAGGTGAACATCAGCCTGTTCCAATCTGTAGCTTATAACCACCTGGCTGTGTGACATTCGGGAACCATCTCCCCCTATCCAGGCTCCACAGTGACAAGTGAGGGTGCAGGACACAAGGATCTTGAGGGTTCTGTCAGCTCCAACAGTGGGTAAATTTCCCATCGCCACCGCCCGTGGATCTCAATAAGGAAACACTCCACAGCCGGCTGCAGGAGTCCCATCCAAGGGGCCATCCCTTCTTTCCCTCCTGCACTTTCCTTTTCTCCCTGAGACTGTCTGCTTCTGTGACTGTGCAAGTCTCTTGCTGGACTTGTGGACTCTCCCGCAGTATCCCGTGGTCTGTCACTCTCAGCCACCCTTTCTGGAAGAGTCTGAGCTTTCTCCCCGCTGTTGTGGAGCCCCTTGGTCTGTAAGCCGATTGAGAGCCTCCATCTCAGTGCAGTGAGCTGACCTGACTCCCACTCTGCTTCTGCGCCGCCATCTGCATTGTCCAGAGGTAGCTAACTGCCTCTTCAAGTGCTCAGAGAACTGCCAGGAAAATATTTACCTGCTCATTGGTGCTCCTGGGGAACTTCCTGGGACAGACTCAGCCCCTCCCTGTAGCAGGACCTGCCCTCAGGCCCGTGACTCACTCACCAAGCAGCAGGGATCAGCAGTCACTCCCTCACTGGCTCTGAAAAACTTTCCAGAGCACACCAAGCCAGCTCCTTTCCTCCACACTTCCCAGTTCACCGCCACCCAGCACGAATAAACACCGTATCTGCTCACCTCTACTCCCTGCGTCTTCCTGGGACCGCAGCCTCCATTTTCACCATGTTCCCTGGGCGTTCTGCAGGCTCAGTGGATGCTTTGCCTGATCCTCTTCCTCGGAAGAGGCTACAAAAATTTCCACTCCGTAATTGTCATACAGAATGGGCAGGTGGGAAGAAGTGAGAAGTGGGAAATCAAATACTATTTAGTATAGAAAATGTGCTCAGACATTTGAAACATGACTGAGTTTGGCATCGGTTTCTCTTTAGATCATTTACTTGTAACCTTTGGCCTCTCTGCACACCTGATCTCAGAGCTATAAGGTTACATGAAACAGCAGGTATCTCCCGAGGCATGTTTACAGCAATTGCGGCTCCAGGGTCACCGAACTGTGTTAATGATAGAGCCAAATCACCACCACCAAGGTACTTATGTAGAGGATTGAAAACCACATACAAACATGCACAAGGCTCAGTGGTGTGTGCTGGGGAGTGCGGAATGCTTTTCTAATCTGCCCTCATGAAAACCACAGACTATGAGGGGTAGAGCAGCAGGGGGTGCAGAAGGAAACCGGGTTTATGTCAGGGCGATAAATATGTGTGTGAAAGAAGTGAATTTAATTTCTTTAGATTTTCAAAGACTTTTAAACAACTTCTACGCCAAAAGCCAATTAAAAAGAAAAAAATCAGTCATCATAAAATCAAAATGCGTTTTGTCTTGTATCATGGATACAGAAGTTGTTTACGAGATGCAAAATGAAAATAGGTTAAATAAACACATCTCAAACTGTGAGCCTTCCAGATACTAACATGTAGGCTGATTTTTTTTTAATTTTTTTTTTTTTTTTTAGCTGAGCCATCCTGCTCAGTGGCTGCTCAGCTTGGGCTGGACTCGAACCGTTGTTGCTCAGAGCTCAAACTCTTGAGCGAGATCTTAACCAACTGAGCCACTCGGCCGGCCCCTAGGCTGATCTTATTAAAATCATCTTAAAATGACTGGGACAGAGCAAGTCATGCACCATAAAAATCGTAAGATCCTAGTTAACTCGAAGTGAAAAGTTATGGTGAGAATAAACTTTAAAGAACAGCTTCCTGAGCCAGCCTAGTGGCAACATAGTCGCCAATTCGATTCCCACATGGGCCTGAGCTGAGCTGCCACTGAGCTGACAACAGGTGGCAGGATGGCCAGCTGAAAAAAAAAGAACAGCTTCCTAAGCTGTCAGTAGGTAAAAGTGAAAAGTGAAGGGAATTCAATGTGGTCGAGTGCACAAAGGAAATAGTTCAGCATACATCCATATGATTTTAAGCTCCGAGCATGTTACATTGTGGAAAAGGGGCCATAAATAGGATTGTTGTTGATATCTCCTGAAGACACTACCCCTGTGTGTGGTTTTGCTTAAAACCCAACAAAATCCTGTATATCTGTAAGTGCCTCAAATGCAGTTCTGTCCAAAAAGTACCGGTGAATGGTTGTTTTCACAATCTCGCATAAGCAATGGATATGTTTCTAAGACAACGATGTCAATCAGGATTAAATTATAAATTGAATCAAGTTCTGGAAATGTGTAGAAGGAAGAGACAGTGAGTGGACCTGTACCCAGTTTTCTGAAACCCAAGTATAGGAAATTCAGTAACTCAACTGAGGAGAGACTATTCATATCTCAGTTTTCTTTGTTTTTTGTCTTTAAAGCCAAGGACCTAAAAACACATAGAAGCCAACTGTCTTTTAATTTCCCAGGTTAGATGGGAATAACCCAATTAAACAAATACATATTAAAAATCTAAAGACAGTTTTAAGTCTTATAGAAGTCAGCTTCAAAGGTGCTCAGAAAGCCTCAGCAACTTCAAGAAAAGAAGTAGTCATTCAAGCAAAAAATTATTTGCATGTCTATCAGTCAGAAGTTGATATTTTACCCCTCTGGGAAAATTTGCCTAGAAAATATAAGGTTGATTGTGGCTCTGTTGGAGCCATATGGTCGGTATTCAAATACTGGTTTGAACAAATAATTTGGATTCTAATTATTGTTGTTGCTGTTAAGAAAAAACCAGTTGTTAGTTTATAATATATACATATTAGTATAGCATATATGAATAATAAAAATCTGGCTTTATGAAAATAGTGAAAAACCTCAATCGAACTGTCCTAAAAACGTCCTATTTTAGATTGTCTAGTAATGTCAACCTATTCAGGATACATATTAGCCCCATGTTACAATAGTGATAACTTTTCTAAAAATTAAGCAAGCGAACTTACATTTTAGGACGGACTGAAAACAAAATGTGTTATCAAAAGTGATACTATCATGTCATATCATCACTAATCGGGGCATAGGACAAAGTTTGTAGTGTAATTCTTACCTTTGTAGAAAGCTGCAAGGTCATTTTACTTTGAGCCTTCCTAAAGCTAAAACAGAAGAGTAGAAGGTCCAGGGAAGGACTTTAATGGTCCAGCTTAAAAGATGGCTGTACTGTTGCTCTATGAGGGCTCTGAGAAAAAGAAGGAAAGAGTGATGCTCTTCTACTGAGAAAGGTGGTCTGATAGGAGACAGACTGTAGAGTTGGATAGGACTTTGGAGGTTATTTGGTCCGACCTTGCACTTTACATTTAAGGAAAATGAGACACAGACAGGCTGAATCACGGCAGTGTAGCAACTGGAGGGTAGTATGTCTCTTGACTTGGGTCCTAGGACTCTTTCCATGACACCGTAATGCTTTTCACAAAGAAGATGAAACAGCTGGGAAGATACGTCCATAAATAATCCAAGTGAAAATATAAAACCATGAATGGTGTGAGTAGGGTTTCCAAATCCACCCAAAGTAGCCTATACCTTGAGTTCAGTAAAAAAGAAAGTTTGAATGGGATTTTCATCACTCATCAATCCTTCTAATTTCTTATACAACCTCTGGTGCCATAACAGAGAAACTGCCCAAACTCTTGGGAGTCATAAAGCAAGCATCCACAGCCACCATAACCTGAGTGGCATCTTGGACCTTCATGACACCCAAATCAAGTAGCCAGGAAACCTCACAAAACTCCATGTCCTGAACTTTGTTCAGTGCTCAAGAGTCTGAGGAGAAAAGACTCAGAGAAGTGCCACGTTTATTAGAGTGAGAGAGTATTACCCTCACATTGCCACTAAAAGATCCCAGAGATACATGCACTGGCCTCATACCAGTAACTATGGAAAATCTTTAGGGTTGGAAGCTACCTTAGAGGTCACCAGGTTGACCTTCCCATCTGATGTATTAATCCCCCTTAAACATCTCCTTCCAGTGGACTGAGGTGAGATTCTGTTTAACCTACGGCCACGATGGAAATGTTTAAGCACTGCATGGTGGTAGGAGTCAAGTTCCTTGGCGTAGGTCCCACTGGTCCTTTTTCCTATGAGAAAAGGTTTCCAGAGTCCAGTGCAAAGTCCCTCCAAATTCCCGACCCAGCACAAACCCAAAAAGGCGGGCTGGGCTAGCAAGTAGATTTGGTCCGTGAGTTCTCAGAAGGTCTAGTTCCTGGTTCCCAGAAGGCCTCTGTTGCACGGCTGTGGGGCCAGCCCTCTCCAAGGGCATCGTGTCCGTCAGCTCCGTGATCCCTCCCAGAGAAGAGCTAGGTCTGCTGCTCCACCAGCTGTAGTTTGGCAGTCTTGACTCGCTGGGCTTCTTTCAGGTTCCGGGCACGGACGTCTGGGTTGGAAATGAACTCCACCTGTTGCATAGGAAACCAGCCTCGCTCGCCATCTGAGAGTCTCACGCCCTCCAGCCAGCCTATGGGCACAGGGTGGGTGGGAATAAGAATTCTCTGGAAAACACTCACAATCATTTCCACTGGACCTCCTTCCCAGAAACTTTCCTGAACCTTATGGTTGAATGGCCTGGAGAGCCCTCAGTATGTATTAAATAGAGCCTCCCAGCACGCTAACCCTGGCTGCTTTCGATCTAGCAGTCCACACTCCTAAGCAAGCTCCACTCTTACGGGTTGATTTGTGTTCCCCCAAAATATATGGAGCGGTAACCCGAAGTACCTCAGAATATGACCTTATTTGGGAATAGGGTTGTTGCAGATGTAATTAGTAAAGTTAAGAGGTCATACCTGAGTAAAGTGGGCCATTAACCCAATATAAACGGGACCCTTATAAAAGCAGGGAAATTTGGACACACACACAAACACAGAAGGAAGACAGAGGTAGAGACCATGCTTCTACAAGCCACGTCACACCTTCCAGAAGTTGGAAGAGGCAATGAAGGAGCCTCCACTGGAGGCCTCAGAGAGAGCACGGTCCTGCCAACACTTTGCTTTTGGACTTCGGTCTCCAAGTCCATGGGAGAAGAAATTTCTATTGTTTGGGGCTATTCGATGTGTGGCATTTGTTACAGCAGCCCTAGGAAACCAATACCCCCTGCTCTAGTGTCCCGCCTCCGATGCCCTGCCTGGTCCCCGCAGAGTCCCCCCTTTACCATCGCTGCTTTGTTGAGTCACCATCACCACATCCGCCTTTTCTAGAGCCAACTCGTCATTCTCCCGGGGTTTGTAGGCTCGGAGGCACTGTACTTGTTGGGAATCTTTGGACGAGAAGGAAGAGTGTGAAGAGGGGTTAGGAAAGGCGAGGCTAGAACATGGAGAAGGGATTGCAGGGGGAAGCCGAGAGGACTGAGATACAGTCTGGGCATTTGAAAGGAGACAACTGGAGAAGTCTTTATCTCCCATCAGGGAACAAAATCGTTGATAAGGAAATAGAAATACCAGAGTTGAAATGCATTAAAAATTCTATTTCTCCGGGGAAGCTGAATTGAGAAATAGTCTGTGATGGTCTTCAGTGACTCATCATTACAAATCCAGGAGATCCTCCTTCCGTCGGAAGCGTTCCCTGCCTCGTCCTCAGCGGATTCTAAACTCCTGGGAAACTGACTGTCTCGGCCAAGCCCTGGGTCCCTTATCTAACTGTGTCGAGTACGTGTTCTGGCTCTCCAACTAGATTGTGAAACCTGACTCTGTGACTCACTCCTCACGTCCTTCACGGTACCAGATGCTACCAGATGCGGGAGGAAAAGAGACTTAACCAGTGGGGTTCCAGGCGTGATCTCAGAAGGCACTTAATCCTCTTTAGCTTCAGTTTCCTCCTCTGCCAATGACTGGGTAGGTCAAGCAGATTCTTGAGGAAATGCTGGATTTCCTATGTTTCTAGATATTTATGAATCAGGAGACATTCCCACAGTTTTGAAGCTCAAGAGTAACAAGCCTCCGAGTGCTCCTGACCGATAAGCATTCCATCTCACATGGGTTTGTTGCTCTTTCCGCGCCACCGCACTGCACTGGCTCCCTCAGAAAACAAACAAAACACTGCTTTATCGCCCGGCACGTCTTTTTCTAAAGCTCATCCTCATCTGCCATTCACGAGGCCAGAGGAGGGAGGTGGGAGGGGGAAGAATTATTTTGCCTTCCTCCCCAACCCAGGGGAACCGAAGCCCAGCAGATGGGTCACCCAGGGAGCAGGGTGACAGAACTCCGTTTATAGCCTGGTTCTCCTACTTCCTTTTCCAAGCTTCCTGGTATTTGTTTGTTCTTTTGAGTCACTAAAGGCTCAGCCTTCCTTTGAATTCAGTTCCTTTCTGGACATGAATTAGGGAATCCTTGCTGGAGGACAACTGCAGGGCTTATAGGAGACCCATAAATCCTAAGATAAGGGGCATGGATGCAGGCACATTCCCAGTGTGGGTGTGTCTGTGGGTACCCACGGACACCTAGGTAGGGCAAGGGGTGAGGGCAGCGGTCGCCGGTCGTCCTACAGGAGGGCGTGTGCTTAAGACAAATCTGCTGTGTTGCTACCCTCCTGTGACACTTACTCCAGCCCTACTTTGTCCCATCTTCCCAAGACCTTCAAGTAGGTAAAATGTAGGCAAAACAACAGCAGGATACACTTAAGGGGACAAATATTTAAAAGGAGCAAACTATTGCCCAAGGTAGGGAGTTCTATGGGGGGCACTGCCATGGTGATAGGAAGATTTAAACAGAAACTCAGGTGGTGGCCAGTCTTCCACCCCGAAATGCTGCACTAAAGCAATCAACAGGAGCCCCCCCAGTTCCCACCCAGCCCTCTCACCCCGCCACGTTTCCCCTCCTCTTAGATATCACTCACCACAACATTCCAGAAGGTCCAGCTCCTCCCTTGGCATGGCCAAGGCGGAGATCCAGCGAAGCTTTTCACTTCTGAGGAAACAAAGCAGGGTGACTGCTTCAACTGCAGTTCTGGGGGTGTGGGCCAAGGGGCCAGTGGAGGGACGGGAGCACGGCTGGGGGAAAGGCCTGTCTAGTTCAATGACAATTACGGCCACGCTTGACGAGGCTCCGCTTGGTTGGAAATACGACAGGATCTTGAACTGCGTTAATGTGTCTTGTTACCCTTTCTTTTCCCCCCACTCTTTCCAGGCTTATCCTGTTAGTGGCACCTCATACCTTTCAAGCGGTGGCATCAAGTCAACTGTCCATTACAAACACGGAGATTTTCCATTTGGGGAACTACACTAAGCTAAATGTTCGCCTCAGTTTAGATTCCCTCTACACACTGCATACTTCTTGGCACTCCTCCACCTCCTTCCCATCAAGGATCTCAGAGATGAAAATTATTCCGTAATCATAATTATATCAGGGAGATAAATCTAATTTTTTGTTATGGAATATAATCCAAGCCTAATTTTGTAATTATCTGAAGGTTTTGCATTATCTTAGCCTCTGAGAAATTGAGAGCAGACACTCCTACGGGTCCAGGAAGATACTGCCTAAAGCACTAAACAAAGAACATGAGGCTCTTCTGGTTACTTGATTTGGGTGATATTTTGCATATCAGCCCCTTTGTTCCATCAGCGACGACAGGCATTACTGATCCCACCCTGAACTGTCTTCCAAGGGACAAAACTGAGAAGTGTCTACGACACAAGGATCCTCAAGCTATTAGGTATCATGTGAAACTTTTAAAAAAGGTCTCTTGTCTTTTATAACATCAATAATAGGTACAGTTTTGTAGCTGTTCAGTATTATCGACACTATGTACCAGATTTTGTAGGTATTATTTTTTAATACTCTCCAAATGTATATATGTGTAAATGTATTTTATTATTACTATTACCATCATTATTATTATTAAAAAGATGAGCAAATCAAAGTTCTCAATACTACAGATTTCTGCTCAACAGCAAATGGGGTTGGAAGGTGGGAACGAGAAAAGCCAAAGGCACCCCAGCACTTCTCTTATTCACAGATATGCCCCCCAGCCGTGGGCACTGAGGAATGTCTGGCTGTACACATGCGCATTCACTCGTGGATGTCAGTACTCCAATTCTTTAGTCATGCCATACTGGTCCATCCCCTTCGGGTATCTCACAGGCTTTGTCTTTCTTGACAAAAAAGTATAAAGTAGACACTAAGGCTTGCTAGCGACTTGACGCCCTCGCCCACCCCGGTCTCCCGCAGTTGTCTATCAGCTCTAGGAGTGCGGCTTTCTTTACGGATGCTCGTCAGTCCAGAATGGACTGCATGGTGCTGTGGCTGTTTTCTGATCACATTTTCTGCCTTGGTCCCTCTTCCTTCCCAGGCGGTCCTGCCTCCCTCCCCGCAACTCCGCTTCCCAGCCCCATCTCACTGAGTCTCCGTGCGGAAGAGGAACTCGGCCTGGGTGCCCTGTGTGTTGTGCAGCAGGAAGAGCCGGAAGAGGTTTTTGTGAGGTCCGTGGAGTTTCATTTCGCACTTTTCCCCCCGGATGGCGGAGAAGGGAGCGTGGTCAAATACCAGGAACCGGCTACCCCTGCAAAAGACAAGACGTTTCAGTCGGACTCTGGCGTCGTCATACTTCATCCACCCTCGTATCTTTGGACCCAAAATCCCTGTCTTTAGCATCTGCATGTTCTTGTGAAAACCATAAGATGCTGCTAACTTGCTCTCAAGATGGTAGCTCCAGAGTTCCCAGTGATTTGTCACCCGGTGACATCTAGTGCCATGGATACTTCTCCACTTTAAAGTGTTGAAGAGACAGAGCCAGTAAACATTTTCGTGGGCCTTGAGGACCGAAAAGTTAGGATCTGGAATTGGCTGAGTATCTCTGGGCGAGTAGGCTGAGCCTAGCTCAAAAAAAACAAATAGACCTACTGAGAATGTGATCGAGTAATTTGCTGCATTTTTCTCTGTGTCTATAACATGGTACAGTCTTGCCATGTGATTTTGTGACATAATTTTTTGCTTTGGCTCTTTCTTTCTCTTGGCTAGGCCATGAGCTGCACTCCATGGGCTGAGCTATTGAGAAGGGTTCCCCTGGGAACTGGACCCCTCTCTGTCCCTTTCCGTCCCTTCGTCCTTGGCTCATCCCCTCTCCCCGTTGTTCCAGTCACTGACTCTCGGGGCCGAGACAGCAGCAGACAGTCATTGAAGAGATGCAGGTGGATTGGACGCGTGTTCAGTTTCCTTCGCAGCCCTGGGGAGACGCTGAACTCCAGGGCTGTCAGCTCGCCACTCTTCACCAGCCAGCGTGACTGTGAAATGAGCGGGAATATCTACAGGGCAGGGAAGACAGAAGGCGGTGTCACAGCAGTGTCACAGACAGGACAAGTTCCTCCTGGTCCTGTGCTCCTCACCGTGCCCCTCCTCCTAAGTTCCACCCCTGACAACCCTCTTTCACATCTTCCTCTTGCTCATAACCCATCCACTGACTCTATTTCTCACTGAGCCGTCTGCCTGCTATTGTCTACCGTCATGCAGTTCCCATGTTCAGAGCTCAGGCAAACAGAAGGAGCCTGTGGTCCAACCCGTACAGGGCCTACATGAGAAAGCTCAGCCCTAGAAGCCTGAACTGAAGAGGAGACAGAAGAGCCCAACTAGGGCATGTGAAGGAACAAGGCAGGGAACAGTGTGATGTGTTTGTCAGAAGGGAAAAGATTTGGGCAGTTCTGACATGTTCTTTCTTTGATTATAGCCAGAGACATGAGAGGAGAAGGCAGATCCATACGGGGAATGCGATCAGGAGAGCTGGGATTTAGGTAAAGATAAGGGTACTGAACTACGATCAATATGTGGATAAGGGATGTTCCCTCTCTTCCAGGGAGATAAGGATGGTATCTGTTCTGAGTTGGAATTTAAATGTGGAATGTTAATTTCTGATTTGCATTTTGATGGGAGACTTTCGTCCTACATTTGGTTTCAATTCTATATTGCTTTGGTTAGACTAGATGAAGACGTGATAAAATATGGAATGGTTCAAGAACCAAAATACGTCTAGTTATGAAGGCCTACATTGCTGAGTTCTCTCTCATCGGCCCAGTTCTCCCCATCCGGTAACCTCTGCCCTTCATTTCTTATGTATCCTCCAGAGTTGCTTGATGTATATACAGACCAGAAAATACCTATACCGTTTTCTACACTCCTACTTTTACACCAAAGCTGAGATACTATAATACACACAGTTCTGTGTCTACCCTTTTTCACTTAGCAGTGTATCTGCAGAATGAATGAAGTAGGCATTTGGTCACCCCAGAAATAGAACAGAAGGCGTGTAGAAACAAGGTCGGAAACAGGCACAGTGGGAGCGAGGTGGTTGTGTGTTCAGAGCGGACCTGTGGGACACCCTGAGGAGCCACTCACTTTGCACTCAAACTCAATCTTCTGGCTCAGGTAGATCAGCTCCTCTGTCCTTCGCATCCGCTGGACGTTGTTGTTGCAGTCTCGGATCAGCTGCGTGTGAGCAGGAGAGGGAAGGGGAAGGGCACTGAGTTAGAGCTTGGACCTCTGAGTCCCCTGCGGGAGCCCTGGGCATCGGTCGTGGCAGCCCCCGTTTTTGCACAAGGCTTGAACTGCGTGAAGGCAGCAGCAAGCTGAAGTTCTAGGGCTCTGGTGCACTACGTACGACCTGACAGAACATTCCTGGGCTGAGGGAAAGTGAGATTTCATCTGGGGAATGTGAGAGTGAGAGCAGTCCCTTGGTGTGCGGTGTCCTTGGTGTGGGAGGGGTGGCCGTGGGGTGTGGATGCTGGGAGGTGCCTGAGGGATCCCATCACGGGACCCCTGTGCTGCCTGGAGCCACGGGCCTGCATAGAGGAAGAGCTCTCTGTGGGGCTCAGGGTTGGGGGTCGGGTGGGATGGCGGCTGCCTACCTCCTCCAGGGCGTGGTGAGCCTTCGTAGCCTCTGCTTCCTCTGAAGAGCCAGGCTGTGTTCTCTTCAGAATGTTCTAGAGAACAAACAGACAGGAGCCAGATGAAAGGAGGGATGGGAAACAGGAAGCGGACTGGGAGTGAGCTAATGGAGACGTCCAGGAACAAAGCTGGAGCAGCCAGTCACCCTGGGAAAGAAGGGTGTGGGCCGTGGGGAGACGCTCGCATCACCAGCAGGGCTGGCAGTGGAGAAGAACAGACCGCCTCTGCCTTGGGGCCCCCTGAGATCCCCAACTGAGTTGAGGGGACGGGACCAAGGTGGGCTTGCCGTACCTGGAGCAGCAGTTTGAGACGGGTGATGCGCTGGAAGGGCAGAATCAGGAAGGATTTGAGGGAAAGGCGCTGGCAGACAGGGTCGCTCTCCAGCTTCTCCAGGACCTCTCGGAAACTGCTGTTGGTGTTCCTGCGTGGGCAGCGAGCCGCGGGAAGGAGGGGTGAGGCGAGGACTGGGGGACACAGTGAGGGCATGGGGAGCGGACATGCAGTGGACGGTCTGTGGGATCCCGTGGGCAGGGGGCCCAGGTGTGATGCTGAGGCCACCTGATCTGCAAGGAGGGCTGGGGCTTGCGATCACAGAGCGGGCACAAGAATACGTGCTCAGCACTCAGGGTTGGGGGCGGGAAGCTTGGGTGCAGGGCCGTTGCAGGGCCCACATGGGGACAGAGTGGGGATCGGGTCTCACAGCAGATTTTGGAAGGTGCGTTCCTGGTAGGTCTGGTTGGTGACGTAAGGCAGGTAGACCCGGCGGAAGTCGGAGGCGTGGTTCAGGACGACATCACACACATGGAAGGTGAAGATGTTGTTCTCAAAGTTCTCCTCCAGGTCTGAAAGGAACCTGTACAGTATTCACACAAGTCTCATGAGACGTGCGGGCCTCACGTGAGCAGGTGGCTGAGCCCTGCTACACACTCAGCTTGGGACATCTTCTCTTCAATGGTAAATAGCCTCTGTGCCCCTGGCTATGCAGAGTTCTCTCCAAGGATATTCCTAGTTTGACCCTGATCTAACTCCTTGGTCCTAATACTCTACTTCTTGTTCTTTTTATTTTTTCTGTTCCAGTTTTCTAATCTTTAGATGCTTCCCACATCTCGTCTCCAAAGTACTGCATGCCCCCAGTACATCCAAAACTTTAACCCTGGAGGGATTTCGCAGTCATCTATTCATTCACCCACCACCCTCCTTTCTTCTTTGCTCTCCCTGTGCCTACCAGGAATCATGGAGGGGAAAACGAGAGGGTTTCTGAGGAAAAAAATAACGAAAGATTTACAGGCTACAGACAGTGAGGCTGAATGAGTGGGACTTGGGAGAAGAGGACTCTTACGTGGCGCTGACGTCACGCACATCCTGTAAACGCGAGAAGAGCCATTGCTGATCTTGGTTGGAAAGGATGGCCCGGAGCTGGCTTGAATGTTGGAAATGATCCACAGCTATATTGAGACTGCGCAGGTATGAGGCCTCGGACACAATCAGCTCGAATTTGGCCTAGGAGGTCGAGGGGGAGGGAGATGCATTAAACACACTTACTGAGCCCCTGGGGTATGCTAGCCACTGTGCAATGTTTTCGGGGTAGAGAAGGCAGTCCTTCTGCAGTGCACAGCCACACCAGAACCTAACCTGACCTCGGGGGGCAGAAAGAACGTCTGAAGCCGAGGGCAGAAATGTGCAAGCCCCAGAGGTGTAAGAGGAACAGGCGCTTCCAAGAGACTTAAGTAGAGCCTTTTCGGAACCGTGTACTGAAGTCGTGGCAGGAGATGAAGCTAGAGACGCAGACAGAGTCGAGGTCTGGAGGGGTATATAGAACGGTTTGGGCTTTAGACCATGGGGAAATCAAAGAGAGGCTTTATGCAGGGGACTCACTTCATCAGATTTGTTTTTCCTGAGATATTTCTGAGCACAGTGTGGAGAAAGCTTAGAAGGGGTAAAAGCGTCATGTTAGGAGACTGTCGTAGTAATTCCAGATGACCGATGAAGGCCAGAATAGCCACGGGAATGGAGCGGGGTGGCCAATTTCACACTGATTCAGGAGGGAGTCTTAGAAGGACGTGGTTATTTGCTAGAAATGGGGGCTGAAAGGGCAGGCGAGTCTCAGCGAATGCCTCCGTTTTTGAGTTTGGTACCTGGGGTGAACGGTGGAGTTACTGGCTGAGCTAGCGAACGTTGAAAGAGGAACCAGTTTCGGAGCTGAAGGTAATTTGGGGCTTGAGAGGAAGCGGAAGGAAGCAGGATATTTAAGAACGAGATGGTGCAGCTGTGTTTGAATGGAAAAGATCCAGCACTCAAGAACTCATCTGGAGGTTCCAGCAGGGGCGTGATGACTCACGGCCCTGTGCCCCTCTAGCTGGGCTGCTCACGCTTTCCATCCAAGCGTGCAGCCGTAAGACAGATGGGTGGACAGAAGCGAGAAGGAAGACACCCACCTTGGGGATGACGCGGATAACCAGTGACACGCTGAATGACCCTCACACACAACACTGAACCAGGACACTGCGGGCTCACTGGGGCCCTGGCTCGCACATCCCCTAACTCTGCAACTTTGGGGGGCTCCTTGAGCCCCTCTGAACCTCAGTTTGCTTGTCTTTGTGTAGGCATAGTGAACCCACCTCACAAAGAGGTGGGGCAATCAAATAAGCGGAGTCAGTGAAAGCACTCTGTAGCCCCCAGAGTGCTGTTTTATGGGAGGACTGCGTGTGTAAGCATGGAGGCTTGTCTTCTCCAAAACGTGGGGCCAAGGCTGCCCCCCGGAGCCCCGGTGGACTTGTGAGGACGCTGCAGTTGGTGAAACAGGGCTAGGGTCCATACCATCTCCCTGTCACTTGGTCCAGAAATATGGGGTAGATCAGTGATTTTCTAAATATCCTCCATGTGCTTTAAAAGTTGAGGTCAGAACAGGACCCCCAAGTCTGAGCTTCAGAAAACCTACAATTGACACCTGTCTGTTTGATGTGGTGAAGGCACTGTTTAATCCATAAGTCCTTCTGGCCCCAATTTCCCTCCTTCCCGCCTCTGAAAGGGGGAAAGCGTGGCACTAATATGTATTAAACTACGTACCAGGCGCTGTGCTAAAAGCTGGGTGTGTGTTATTTCACTTCAAGTGCATGGCAACCCTGAAAGGTAAGCATTTATTATCCTCAATTTTCAGATGAGGAAACTTTGATTTGCTGAAGTTATGTAACTTGCTAAGGTTACACAGCTCATAAATGGTGAAGCCAGGATTCAAACCCAGGATGGCCTGACTTGAAATGAAAGTAGTAAACATTTTTTGAGTCACTACTATGTACTAGAATATTTACATAGTAATGATTCGTGTGTGTGTGTGTGTGTGTGTGTGTGTGTGTGTGTGTGTGTGTTCTCCCAATACCTCCTTGCAATGCAGTTTAACAAATGAGGAGCTTAGGAAAAGCAGTAATTTGGCCAGAGTACAATAGCTAGCAAATATTAAAGTGGGCTTCACATCCATTTACTCCAGAGCCTAAATACTTCAACATTATTCCATCATGCCTTTCCATTGTGCCATGTTGTCTTCCTGGGAAGAAAGGTTTAACCCATATTTCAGGTTGATTATAAGAGAAGCCCTCCATGTAAAACCTATAATGGCGATAACCTAACATCAGACAAACAGCCTCTACTACAATCTTGCTATTGGGAAAAAGGACCAAGCGGAGACTGATGGTCACTCCAAAGCCTCTGGGCCCAGTGGGCCACAGGACAGCTGCAAGGGGCACTCTTCAAGGGCCCCAGCACAAAGCCCCTGCATGCGCCTTGGCAGAAGAGGAAACCTTTAGTGTAGCCTGAAGCCCTGGCTGGAGAGGGAAGTTGTAGCCAAGCCTGAAGAGGCACTGATGGGATTAATTCTGCACTCCTCCCGACAAAAGAGGCATGGTCCCTTTGTATGAGTCTGAGCCAGTAACGGGTAGCAGTCAATGGCCCATGACGTGAAGAGGCGGGAGGCGGGGTTAGTGGTGACCTTCAGAAAGCAAGTCAAATCCATTGGACGGGAGATGACGGACAGTCATGGTGTGCACGAGTGAGTGCGGTGGGGAAGTGTGCTCTTGGGGGAGGCGGGGGGAACAGGAGAGAAGGATTTGAACAAATGAGACTTTGCTTTCCCTCCTGACGCCCCCACCCCCGCCCTGCCTTTTACCTCTTGCAGTTTTTGGTCTTCATGGGTCATGGACAGCAGCACGGTGCTGTTTCGCACAATGGGGATTTCCTGCCAGAGGGAGGCGCTGGGGGCCATGGAGAGCCGCTGCAGGTAGGACTCCGAGGAGACCAGGATCTTTCGGGGCTGCCTGGGGGAGGCAGGACCAGGGGCCTCTGCAGAGCTGTCGGGCCGCTGCTGGCTCTGGATCTCCTTGTTCAGAACCACGTCACTGTACTCCTGGTACAGCAGCTGCGCTACAGGGCGAAGAAGCGTGGGGAACGGGGAGAGTCAGGGAGCGGGGACCAGAGGCCCAGAAACAGACGGAAGCCTCCAGACTGCTCTGCCTGTCCCGGCGAGTCCCTCTCCCCGGAGGGCTGCCCACCCGCCGCTGACAGCCACGCGCCGCTCCAGTGCTGGGCAGAACACCCACGTGGATCCACAGTTCTGTTTCCAGGTACTCACAGGAGTTGATGAGCTTTGAGCAGCGTCTTGAAAAGCCTCCCATCACCTCCTTTGGTTTTTTCTCCCTGTGGAGAAAAGAAGGGTTCTGGGGTGCACACTGGCCAGTCCATACGGAGAAGCCGAAGGTGACTGTAGGTGACATAGTCTCTAGCCTCTGGGACATGTGCCCTGGGGAGGCAAGTGGTAGTCGGCCCCACTTTGGGGTAGTTTGGAGCTTGCTTGGCGGTCACATTGAAATTTTTTTTACAGGGGGTTTAGTAGTTCATGGCCAAAAGCCTCAGAGGATGGGAGATTAGGACGCAGCGGACAAAACCAGGTAGACCAAAGGTATCCCTGCCCCGGGATCCTGGTGTCTGTCTACCCCTCCTTACTCCTGGAAGGGACTGGGTCCCGGAACACTTGGCAACCAATGGAATCTCAGTAACCTAAGAAAAGCGAGTACAACCGTGTCCCTTGGGAGAGAGGGTGACTCACCGAAAAACAATGGCGTCTGAAGAGGAAGAGGATTTTTCCAGGGCTGGACCTCTTGTATCTGAAAATGAAATGGGTGAAACAACTGATGTTTCGGAGGGGCATTCGGACATAGCCGAAGAAGGCAACGCATACCTAGAGTGGGAGACACAGGCATGGGGGCAGGCCGGGTGGGGGCAGAAGGGCAGTTGGGAAGGGAGGGAGGGACGTGCCAAAGCAGGAAGCCTTTGAGGACTCGCATGCCGGGTACGAGCCCGTCCCTCGGGTCACAATGGAAACTGAACGACTACAGGATGTCTTTCTCCTACTAGGGGGACACTGGCTGCTGGTAACTGGAAAGTGACAGGGAGTGTCCACGACAACCCTGGGAAAAAGACACAGTAAAAGAACACCGTGGTTGGGTGACAGATGGTGACTGAGGGAAGAAGGAGAGCGTCACTGAGCTCGGAGAGCCCTTCAAGGGCGTCCTTCTGTGCCGGGCTTGGCCGTGTGGGTGAGCGAAGCCAGCAGGGAGACCGCGGAAGCCCTGGGGACAAGAGATGGAGGCGGCAGAAGGGCTGGAGAAGCGCGGTCTGCCGTGAGAGCCGCGGCGCCCCGTGCTCACCTAGGGACCCCACAGGCAGGACGGAAGGTCTGCGCAGGCCCTGCCGGTGCCAGCCCTTGTGCGCCTGCGAGCCCTCGCCAGAGGCCGCGGCCTGCTCCGCGCCCTCCAGCGGCCTCCCGGCGTCCCGGCGGTGCGGCCAGCTGGACGCCTTCTCCAGCGGGGGGTGGCCGGGCCTCCCCGGCTGCCTTGCTCCACTCGGATCTGAAGCCCGCAGGCTCTGCGCTCCTTCCGGAGGAGCGGGTCTTCGCAAAGATCCTGTAGCTCGGGCCTCGGGCTTTTTTGAGAGCCCTGGTTCAGAGGGGGCTCCCCGGAGCTCCAGAGTCCAGGGGGTGGTTGGGGAAGAGGGGCTTAGAAGGGCGGTCACGTTGCTGAAAGCCATGACAGGGGCCACTTCGCTCTTACTCCTAATGGTGGAAGCCAAGGAGTCTGATCTGCCCACGGCGGGCGGCCAGGAGGTGCGTCCAGCAGCGTGGGGGATGGACGCCGCCTGCTCTTGACAGACAGGCCTTGGCTTGGCGTGTCCCCCCGAATTCATGAGTCCTCCCTGAGTGCTCCTGTCCCTGCCCCTGGACTTTGGGGGTAACGGGGGTGGCTCGGTGAGAGGGTCGACGACAGGGACAGGGGGGAGGGGCTTGTAGATCCTCGGGCTGCCATCAGAAGAAATGGGAGAATGGTGGGGCTGGGACAGGTCGGGAGTTGGGGGTAACGGCTTGTTGTACCTCGACCTTGGGGAGGAAGAGGTCTGAGGATGGTGGGGGTTGTCCGGGGTGGAGGGCAGAGGTCGGTACTGCCTCGCCACAAGGGAGTCGGGGGCTTCGGGAAGCGGGCCTCTGGGGGGGCCATGTAGGCCTGGACCTAGGGCCAATGCGGGAGGATAGCTACACTGCCTGTGTGTGGGGGCCACTGCACGGGGGTGGCCATCGCTCTCCACCATGGCGGGGTACACGTGCCTCTTCTGTGGGGGAAGTGGGGGTGCAGGTTCATGGGCTCGCCCATCTACAAAGACGAGGGGGGGTGAAGAGCCATAGGCGGGAGGCCCTGGGGCAAAGGGTGGATTATGCGGGGAGCCCCACGGCTGGCCGCTGCGGGGGCTGCTGGGTCTCTCTGGCCTTGAGGGCAATTCCGGAGCGCCCCCTCCCAGCGTGGCCGGGGAAGCGGAGGCTTCGGGGATGCTGCCGCAGCCCCTGCTGCTCTTCCGGTGCCTTCTCAGGATCACGGAGCCATAGACGGCAGGCTTGGGGGGCCTCTGGGGCAACTCTGAATGAGAGAAGGACAGCGATCTTCCCGCCAGGTCCGGACTCAGCTCTGTCCTGTGGAAACCCGAGAAGGAGTTGCTCCTCAGGGGCTGGACGGCCCCCGCGCAGTTGACTAGGGGGCTCTGCGGGCTGGCCCAGGCAGGGCAGCCCCACGGGTCCAGGGTGGCTTCTGCAGACGGGAAGCCAGGGAGGCTCCCACAAGGAGAGGGGCTTTCAGTCAAGAGAGAGGCTCCGGAGGTTTCTGGAGAACATGCAGCAAGAGAGGGCGCCTTCCTGGGAATGGCGACGGGCGCGCTGGCGGGCAAGGAGCCTTCAGCAGGACGGGGAGGAGCTGCGTCGAGGGTCCCTGGAGGGGTCACGGGAGGGCTGCCGGAGACCCCCTCAGGCCCCCAGCTGGGCACGGCCTCCTTCCCCAGCTCGGCTCGCGCTGGCTGGCCGTCCTGCACTGTCCCTTGGTCGGGCGACTCCCCAGTGGGCAGGACGCTGGGTAGACAAATGGGCCGACGGGACCGTCCTGTGGGCCCCAGGGGAGGAGTCAGAGCTTCGGGAAACAGGTCCTCCGCCGTCGGCGCTGTCTGCGGCCCAGGACGCCTGACCATCGCATTACAGACATCCGGACACGAGTCACAGGGAGAAGGGACCCCCGGGGCGCCCCCCTGGCCCCCCCGCGCGGCCCCCTCCCACTGTTCTGGCGCCTCCGCTGGCATCACTGTCCCCTGTGGGCCCTGAGCTTCTTGCCTTCCGGCTACATTCACCGATTTCCCCACTAAGCTTTGGGTCTCCTCGTGCTGAGCATGCACCCTACTCTCCCCAGGCCCCCTGAACTCCCTCGTCCTCTGTTCCCTCTGCTCTAGACCTTCCTGGCCCTGAGCCCTCCTCTGCCACACTTCGTAATTCAGACCTCCCAGCTCCCCATTAAGCCCGCCTCTTCCTCCTGGTCTGGCAGGCACCGCGTCGTCTTGGCTCTGCTCCTGTTTCTGCCTCGGTCCTCCCTCTGTGCCGTTCACCTGCTCCCCTACCTGCTCCTGTCCCCCGAAAAGCCCATCAGAACAATCGGCCTCCCCCAGGACTCCTCCCCCTGGACAGTCCACTTCCTCTGGTCCCTGCTCCTCCAGCCCCTCGGCCTCCTGGGGACACACAAGCCCTCCTCTCCCTGGACTTCGCTGCCCCACTGGAGGCTGCAGCTCCTCCCCGTGCCTGACAGTCCCACTTCCAGAATCCTGCGGTGGGTTGGTCTCTGCAGGGTGCTCTTCCCAAGAAGACAAGCATCGAGTCCGAGCACCGGTGTCTGCAGAACTTTCCTCCTCTTCCGCTTGTCCAGTCCCCAACACCAAGGAAGCGAGTTCTGGTCTAACTTCCACCTCCACTGTGCTGCTCAGCTCACTGGATACTGGGACCTTGTCCAGATGGTCACCCTGGACAGGGCAGGCCCAGAGCTCTGGGGGAGCCCGTGCCCTTGGCTGTCCATCTGCTGGGCTCTGGGGCACTGCCTCCTGGCACTCTGGAGTGTCCCAGGCCTCTGTCATCAGGTTTTCCTGGTCGGTCTCCACATCTGCAGGGGCGTCCTTGGGGACAGAGGTCATACTCTCGGCTGCACAGTCATTCACATCTCTCAAATCTCTCTGCTGGAGCTCCAAGAGTCGGCGTCCCTCTGCCCACTTATAGGACGGGACCTGGCCTTCCTGACCCTTGAGCCCCACGGCAGGGGTCTGGCCGCTTCTCATGAGCGCTTCAGGGGCAACACCGAAGTCTGCTATGGCGGGGACGGCAGTCGGCGCTCCATGCTGGGGCTCCGCAGCCTCCATCGGGGCTGAGTCCTAAAAAGGGATGAACGGCAAAGACCCATCACCTCCTCTGCGTTTACCTATCAGGCAGGCAGACCAGGAAGAACAAGAGTGGGACACTTCGTCTACAGACACGCTTTGAGACAAACGGCATGCAACAAAAAAAAGCAATTGCCTCTATAAAACCTGTGACTTAGTAATTCATTTAATAAATATTTATAAGTGACCTTTTTAAGCGCGGGTCACTCTACTAAATGTGTCATTCAGTAGTGAATGAGACAAAAACTGTGTCCTCACGGACCTGCAGGCTTGTGGAGGAGACAGATAAAAAGAGATTAAATGGGAGTCTCCTTGTCAGAGGACCAAGCACTCCCAGGGGTCATAATTCTCTGGATGGTATTATGTCATATCGTCTCTCCCTGTCTACTCCCTGGACACCAATAGTGACTCAGTTCCACAGAACTCCCAGACACTGTGAGGGACACACCCTAGATCGAACAGGCCAGAGAAGCCGTGTCTGAAGGGGGCTCTTCCTCCTAAGGTGCTGACAGGGGATTAAAATAAGCCCGGCCATGACAGCCCATGCCTGAGGTACGAACGTGAGATCCAGGGTCTGGATGTTCACTCTTCTTATTTTCCAGTGTCTAGCAGAGCCTGTAACTAATTAACAATTTTGTTTTCAATGACACAGGCAGCTGTTGTAAAGTAGAATGACTTATTCGATTTAGAGCCTCAGCAGACACAGTGGTTACCTGTTTCAAGCGGGTCCATAAAACTGTGACCCTCATTATCTTCCTCTCCCCTTCGCTCCCACAACCTCGTGAACTGTTCTCATTACTTCGCACCTCTTCTCTCACTTCTGGCAGAATGCCTCATCGCCCGCTTTGCAAAGGACTTAAGTGAGTACTTGAAAACCAAAGGAGCTGCGTGCATGTCATAGCAACATGCATTTTGCTCTTTTCTTTCCTCCTGCGACCGTGGGAGGGGCGTCCCTCCTCCCCGGGCAGCACCTCCTCTGGCCTGCCTTCTCAGGGAACCTGGCTATGGATGAGCTCTCACACTTCACCTCTGGGAGGCTCGTCCCACCAGCATTTAACAGGCGCACGTCTTTCTCATCTTTCTAACTTGTGAAAGGACTGGTTCGTGCCTGCTGTCTTCTTATCCCCACACCTGACCTATCTCCCACCAAACTTCAACAGCCCCACTCTGCTCACCTCCCCTATATGATTTTCAAGTTGTTAACTCCCAGAAGCTTGCCTCGGAGGCTCTTGTCAGTATCTGACACTCCTGACATTAGAAATACTCTTTCTTGTTATTTGTGAGACTACATGTTCCTACTTTAACCCCTCACGCTTTCCCCAACCCCCTAACGGGGTTCATGTGCTCCTCTTTCTCGCACTTACCAACGAGAGTTCACTTTCCGTCCCCTCTGCAGCATCGACATGATTATAGTTATATATTATGTGCCTATTTTGATTTCTCATTTATGTCAAACAATAGGTGGTAAGTTACATGAGCTCAGGAACTACATCTGTCTTGCTCAAGTATCTACATGTACCTCAGTCCCTGGCTCATACTAAGTGCTCAATAAATACTTCTCAATCACGGAAGACGACTGACCTCCTGGCCCAATTCCCCACATCTAACCCAGTCCTGCTGAGCCCACCTCCCCAGGCTTTCTCCTTCCCCCGTCTCCCCTCGAGACCCTGGCGCAGATTCCTGGCCTCCCTCCCCAGGGCCCTGCACCTGGGCACAGCCTGGCCACAGGCCTCCAGGCAGCTTTTCTTGTCCTTTTTCCAAGGCACTCTCTACCCAGCCCCTGCGTGATCCTTCAAAGCCCCACTTCTAGTTTAAATTTTTCAGTAGCCTCTGGCTGCCATTGGGGTGAAACCCAAATATTCAGCATGAGTTATATGCCCTCCACAGCTTGGCCTCTGCCTGCCTCTCCAGCAGCCCAGTCACCTATCAGCACCTCCCCCGCCCACTTTCAGTCCTTTAGCTCAACTCCCCCCACACACACACACCCTGTCTCTCTTGCAGGCCTCACATGTGCGGCTCTTCTGCCTGGAATGCTCTTCTCCTGTGGTTCCCAGGTGACCCTATATGTCTCACACTCATTGCACTTGGAATTATATACTTAATGTCTCTTCCCCGGATAGACCATGAGCTTCATGAGGCACAAATACGGCCATGCTAACGGCTCAGTCCCCTCTGACTGAAGTTTAGTTGGCCCTCAACAAAGATTCATTGCATGAATGAATGAAGGAAGGAAGGATGCAAAGTTAAAAGTGCTGTACAATTTCTAGTTCTGCCTTTTTTGTATCTTGGTAATTTAAGACAATTGTAGAAATCACTTAATTTATTTGAACATCCATTTTCTTATCTTTATAAAGGAGATACAACACTTTCTTTGCAATGAAACTCTAATGAAGATTAAATAAGATAATATTAGGGGTGGCCGGTTAGCTCAGTTGGTTAGAGCACAGTGCTCATAACACCAAGATTGCCAGTTCGATCCCCACATGGGCCACTGAGCTGCGCTCTTCACAACCAGATTGAAACAACTACTTGACTTGGAGCTGATGGGTCCTGGAAAAACACACTGTTCCCCAATTAAAAAAAAAAAAGTTAAAAAAAAGAATATTAAAAAGTACATTGTTAAATTTAAGGGTCATAGAAATGTTAAGGAGAGTAATTATTGTTGATGAGAGAGAAAGTAAGTGTAAGAAAGAAATACAGGACTTAGAGCTAGAAGGACTTTTGGAGACACACAGACAACTCTGCTTAAGGTACAGATGGGGAAACTGAACGTTAGATAACCTAGACACTTGCTCATTTTTCCTAAGCAAATGGTACAGGTGAACTCAAATCAAGGTCTCCTGACTTAGGTCACCTATAAGCAACCAGAGGTCCAGGGGTAAGACAGCTGGCAGTTCACAAGCCTAGAGGAGATCCCAGGGGGCCACGGAACCCACAGCTGCACCCGAACCTGCACCCTTCTTGTCTGGTCTAGGCTTGAAGTGGAAGCCCACCCCCCAAAATGCCTGCAGGCCCGCCGAGATATTGCACATGTATGCACGCTTGCCTGAGCATGCATGCATGCATACACACACACACACACACACACAGGAGCCATCCCTGCAGTTTCTACCTAGCGCCCGGCACAACCAAACAGGCAGGTCCCTCGCCACCCTGCAGATGTAATATGTGACGAGTTCCTGGCCACCTCCTAGACCCAGATACCATCAATATGGAGGAAAGAGCCATGTCTAACATATGCATACTTGTGTAGAAGGACTTCTACGCCCTTTTCCAGTTAATTGACACACCGTGCGGTCTGCTCCCTGTATCTAGCCCTAAGGACAAAATCCTGTAATCATTATAGATGTTGACCCTATTCTCTCGACCACACATTAAATACTATACTTGCTCACTGTAAACATTTTCTGAAACTTGGCTCCTACTTGTCTAAGGAGACCGTGTAACTAAATCTGTAGTCTTCCGTCACCCACGTGTGTTGTCCTGGCCCTATATACACACCATCAAGTCATCAAAACAAGCAGCCTCTAAGTATATAAGCATGTTTCTGCTATACTTAGGCAGTACGTACACACACACACACACGCACACATACACACGTGCCACATGGACATCTTCAGTTCCAGCCTTGACACAATCCTGTCTGCCTCCTACAACCCCACTGACACTACTTCTAACACTGTCTTGATCCATTTGGAAACATCGGTGGTCACTGGCTCCGCCACCATTTCCCTGCACTTGACTGTCCCAGTGATCTGATTATAAACAGGGGCTACAAACCTAGAATATGACAAAGCTAAAACGGAAATCTGTAAAACATGGTTTTACTCACATAAAGACACAGGAGAGAGGCTTTTCTGCACTGCCCATTATATTAGAGTGGTCTCTTATCTCCTTCCCCACTGGGAGTGAATAATCACTAGCTGAGCGTGTGCAAAGACAGACACGCACCATACAGGCCAGAGACATTTCGCACCCGCTGATCCTGTCCACATGTGACTTCATTCAAGACAAAGCTCCAAGTCACCCCATTAACGCAAAGTGTGACAGAGCTCTATCTCCCTTGGAGCCCCCCAACACCTGAACTCTTGTCCATTTGTAGTCTCCAGATATAAAATTGTACTTCAAAGATATACCCCCTCCCCAGCCAACCCCCACATCCATCACTGCTTCTTCTTCGAACCCAGGTTGACCGCCATGAATTTGGAGAACCATGCTTCCTGGATTTTCTAGCAATGTCAGTTTTAAAAATTCTGATGTACACCATAAATCACTGAAATGCTTTTGAGGTTTCAATACTTGTACATGTATACCACGTCGTCTATACTGCTGCTTATCATAGGAAAATACCCCCAAAACCAAAAGACAGGTTCTCATTTTGATTTAGAAAATAAGACTACCACGTAGATGTACACCTTTATTCACTGTTTGACATTATTGCCCCCAATGCTACAAAGATATAAAAATAAGCGTAGCGATCTGGACCACTCGCTGTGAAGACCCGTGTTCTACCCACTTTAGGCAAGTCCCACCCTCCATCCCAGTGAAAACGTAATAAACATCTCGTCTCTATTCCCTAACGTCTGAAAATACCATCTCATTCGCTGCCCTGCAGCCCAGATGAGCTAGCACAGAACGTCCCTAGTGGCGATGCTGACAGATACTCCACAAGCCCACCATGGCCCAGCCGCCACCCACACAGATAATGTGAGTGGGAGTGACCTATGTGTGTCCTTAGCCCAGACCTGAGGGTGACTTTGTTCTCACCCACCTTGCACACACGCTGAATGGTCAGCCCCTGTTCACCCGACACGGTGAGTGGCTTTCCCGTCCACACCAGGTGCTGTAAGCCACCTGCTCAGGACTACATCACCAACATTTGGGTAACACTGCTCTTGCTCAATCCATAACCCGGTGAGTGACCCAGTCTTGTCCACCCCACGTAGTGACTGGCCAGTCCAGACACCACAAATGACATCACCTTGTCTATCCCACAGACAGCCTCAGCCAGACCACACTGTGGGCAGCCGTACCCTCGAGGGACCCCGATTACGTGAAGAGTCTGTGATGAGAAACACTGCGTTCTGTTGGGAAGAGGGGTTCCTTTACACCTCCCCTGGCCCCTCTCTCTTCCCCACCAGGGTGATGACATCGCTCCCTCCTGACCCCCATTTTGCTAGGACCTGGGCAAGGAGCGTCTTCACACTCCAGGTACAGATAAAACAGGAAGTCTGAGACAGGGGCCACCTCCGCAGCTTTTTAGGTAGGAGCTGGGCTTTCTGGAGCGGGCCAAGGACACAGGGCCTCAGAATGCCATGGGGGAGGGGGGGCAGCAAAAGAAGGAAGGACTAGAAGTGAAAGCCGCCCGCTCTCCCTTGTCTGCTTGACACACCCTCCCCCGTCAATCTGACGAGAGTCCTGGCCAGAGTTCACTTCTAGGCAGACAGGAGGGCAAGTCTGTCTCAGGACTCAGAGATCCAGGAAGGGCAGAAGGGCCTGAGATGGGAAAATAAGTGGTATCAGGACTCGCTCTCCCAGGGACAGTCTTGCTTATCCACGATGCTCAGAACTGGAGCCCCACCCCCACCTCTAAGCAGCTCCCTTCCCCATCTCCCCAAGTTCACTGTGCGACGTTGTGATTGACCTCAAGCTTCCGAGGTGCTCCCCAGGTAAGGGGACGGGGGAGGGAGGGGTCAGGAGTCATTTTACTCAAAGCCTCGCTCGCTCGCCCGCCCGGGAGAGGGATGGCCTGAGACACGCACAGGGTGGAAGCCCACGGGAAGGGACGGGACGGGACGGGCGGCCGGGGCCTAGCTGAGCAAGAGCAGACGGGGAACATCTCCCAGCAGGGAGCAGGTCCGCACAGGGGCTCTCAGCGGCTCCTTATTCTAGGGGTTTGCTTCCCCGCCCCCCGCCCCGGACCTTGCCTTTGAAGAGGCCTCTTATTGGCCTGGGGAACATCTGGGGGCAGGGTGCCCATTCCCGAGGCGGGGACCAGGCCGGAAGCAAATTTTTCAGGAAGGCCATTTCCTCCGGCTTCTCTCCTCTTCCCGACTGGGATCCTCAGTCACACGCCCCGAACTCTGCCGGCGCCCAGCCCCCCATTTCCGGAGCCTGCGCCCCGGGACCCAGCTGGGGCTGGTCCCAGAGCGAAGGCCTAGTTTCCTGGCCCTTCCTGCGCCTCCCTTACCTCCGCCGGGTCTCTGCAGCCGCCTGCCGCCCGCCGAGCCGGGAGCTGCGAGGGAGCCGGGCGCCCACCTGGCCAGTGTCACATGCTGTCTCGGCCCCAAAGTCCCCTCCGAGTCCCGGGCGCCGGCCTGCCGGTGCCCAGCGCAGGCCTGGGTTGCCTCGGCCGCCCCACCCGCGCCTGCCCTTCCCCGCCCGGCCGGGAGGGAGGGATCTGGCTCTCCTAGGAAGTTTCAGGTGAGGAAACCAGGGACACACCTTCCCGGGGGAGGGGCAGGGCCTGTGTGCGCCGCGGCCCCATTGGCGTGCAACAGGCTCCCGCGTCAGCGCGGGGAAGTGGCGCCCGGCCGGGAGGGCAGGGGCCGGGGGCCAGGGGCCGGGGCCGGCAGGAGTGACCAGAAAGGACGGGACAGAGAGGAGAGGGTGCAGGACACAGAGGGGCGAGAGAGGGGCCTCCGCTGTGCCCTTGCGCGTCTGTGACATCTGCCTGAGTGCGTCTTCTCCCCTGCATTTCCCCAGGTCTTCACCTGAGCCTGCCTGCACCATGCTGACCTTCTGCCTTCCGACGGTGCCGCGCCTTGGCCTGCCTGCGGCTCTGAGGGTGTGAGTGACTGTGCTTGTGTAGGCATCGTTATCTGCAGGCCTCGAGGTTAACTTCTCTTCCTAAGCTCCCCCCCCCGCCCCCCGCGCTCCCCCTCCCGCCTCCCCTCTCCTCGCCTTCCCCTAGAAGGCCATCTCTGGGACGGAGGAATAAGCATCTCTAAAACAGCATGCCATGTCTTTCCTCCGTGTATTCTCTGAGTTCATTTTAGGATAATTATCTATCTCGGGTGCTTTCCTTCTGTATTCTTCCCAGGACCTCTGTGTTTGTCTCAGTCCCATGTGTTTCTTCATGCCTATATATTTTCTTCCAGATTCTTTCAGGGAAGGCTTGTGCTCTGTTGGTCTCGAGTGCAAACCTGAGGGTCTTCTATCTCTATTCCTCTCCACAGACTTCAAACAAACCCAGGCACAGAAAGTCTAGGGAGGTCCACTGTAGTCAGACACCACCAGCCCCACTCATCACTCCACGGGGTGCCACGCGCTCGCACAGGTCAAGCAGAGTCTTCCTGGGCTCCCTGGCTCTTTTGTTCTTGGGGATGCCCTGATCTATCAGCCCAAAGGGCTAGTGGGTTAGACCACTCCCAGATTACTGCGCCCACTGGCTGCTGTGCTGATGCAGGCCTGCCATGCCTATGAGCTTTTTGAAGGGAGCTTTAGGGTAGAACGTAATTAAAGCAGAATGGTGTCTGCTCCAATAAAGCCCTGAAGCATTTCTGTGTTCACAGAATGTGCTACTTCAGCCATGCTATACTCGGAGGGGTGAAGCCCTAAACAGTTAGCAGCCTTCAGCCTATCCTAAGCTACTATGTAGGTGTGGGCAACACCCAGGGAAGGCCAGGACTAGGAGTTCAGGGAGGTGACAGCAGGCCTAGCACTGTTGGGAGTGCAGGAAGTCAAAAAGCTCATTGTAGCGTTATTTACAGTGGCCAAGCTATGGAAGCAACCTAGGTGTCCATCAATAGATGAATGGATAAAGAAGGGGTGGTACATACATACAACGGAATATTAGGAGCAATGAAAAAGAAAGAAATCTTGCCATTTGCAACAATGTGGAAGGATCTAGAGGGTATTATGCTAGGTGAAATAAGTCAGAGAAAGACAAATACCATATGATTTCATTTACATATGGAATCTAAAAGAAAGAAGAAAGAAGGGAAGAAGAAAGAAATTAAAAATGAACACACAAAACAAAAACAGACTCATAGAAACAGAGGCCAAAGGGATGGTTGCCAGAGGGAAGAGAATGGGGGAATGGGTGAAAAGGGGAAGGGAAATATAGTCAATAATATTGTGATAAGTTTGCACAGTGACAGATGATTCCTAGAATTAATGGGGTGATCACGTTGTAAGGTATAAAAATGCTGAATCCCTATATTGTACACTTGAAACTAATATAGTATTGTATACAAGCAATACTTTGAAACTTTTGTAAATACAGTAATAAGAAGTTTAAGCTAGAAGTGTATTTCTAGGCTGGGAGAGCAAACAGTCCAGGGTACGGGTGAGCAGAGTTGGCAAACGCCTGACCCCTGGGCACCGGTGGCCGATGCCTGCCAGGCTGCACACCGCCTACCGGCAGCGGGCACTGAGGCCAGAGGTGCGGGCCTGCCTCCCACTCTGGCTCCACTTGGTTCTCCTTGACTACAGCTCTCTATCTCTTTGTTTTCTCTCTCAGGTCTCATAGACTTGACCTCCTCTTGTTCTACCAGCTCTGACCTATCAGCATTTTTGTTTTGTTAAGTCACCACCCTTGATCAGTGACCTCTGGGCTGTTGTCCAGAGAGCTAAGCATACAAGGCTTGGCTGACTTTTCAAGGAGTAGTGAAATGCAGGAACATTCAAACTTATCACGTAGGGAGCCGGCCCTTCCCGTGGGGCATCCTCGTCTGCAGGGCGGGTGCGCATGGGGACCAGTCTAGCTCTAGGCTCCTCTTCCCTTCACTTTGCAAACTATGGTTCTCTCTGTTTTTCTTGCGTTTCCATTTCTTGATGCTTGCTCTTGGTGCCTGGGCGTCTTCATCAGGCCTGTCATCCCATCCCCATATTTTGATAAAGGAATTACGGTGATCTCTTTTAAAGCAGGACTTCATCAGAGTTATCCTTGGGGTTGTCACTGCCCTAACCAGACATCCTCCTGGTGACACCATTCCGCGTGGTCCCTCAGTTGGTTAGCTCTGACTCTCAGCGGATCCGGTGCCAGTTCTTTGAAAACCGCTCTGGCCTTTCTAACTCTGCTTTTTGTCTGATCCCATGACCCACCTTTGAACTTTTTGAACTCATTTTGAATTCAGTTCTTTCCTTAACTCGACTGACCATGGTCTCTCCATCTTTCTCCTTTAAGTCCACCCTGACTTGGCTGTTGGAGTTCTTAGCTACCCAGTCCCTTTCCAATGAACATATTTTTCTTTTCTCATCCTTGGTTTCCCCTTAACTTCTTTTCTCAGCCTTTGCACATTAGCGCTAGCCTAAAGGTAGTGCTGTGCAAGGTACACATACTAATTGCTTCATTTTTTTTTCTTTTATTCATTTACTCAATATGCTCCTTTTGAAACCAGATATACAAAAATGAAGTCTCTGCCCCCAAGGAGCTCGCAATCTAATTGAGGAGAGACACAAGTAGCAAATAGTGATAGCAGAGTGTGATGTATTGTGTTGAGATGTACACAAAGTGCCATGGTGACACAAAGGACAGAACACTACCTGGGGAGTAAGAGAAGGCTTGAAGGATTAGGTGATAGCTGAGCTGATTTGTCTTAGGGACTCTGTTACCTGGTGGAGAGGAGGACATACCAGCAGAAGAAATGGGACATGCAAAATAGAAGCCTGAATACACTGTTGAGGGCGGGGCAAATCGTGTGGGCTTGACATGAGGTGCGGTGAAGACAAGGCGGAGAAGGAAAGGGGAATAAATAGTGACTCTGTAAGGTGACAGACATGTTAATTAGCTTGACTATGGTGATTGGTTCACAGTCATATATGTGCGTATGTGTATCAAAACATCAAGTTGTACACCGTAGATGCAATTTTTATTTGTCAATTATACCTCAATAAAATGGAAGGAAAACATTTCGAGGAGCCTCGCCTCTGGGAGTATGAAGTCCAATCTCAGTAGCATGCATGGCCTACAAGCCCCTTCATGATCTGGCTGCCTGACAACACTTTCTCTGGGTCTTGGGAGGCTCATAGTTCTGGAAATTTCTCCTATAGGTATGTTTTTAAGTTGAGTACATATGTCATAGGGAAAAAATATATAAATATATATATTTATATATTTATTTATTTAATAATGGCACTTCTTAGATTTATTATAATTTGCCTGTTTAATTTTTATTTGGGGAAGGCAGGTGCAGAATGGTGAATTACAATCTTCACTGTCACACTGTTATCTTTGGTTCCTTTGGTTTGTTCAAGGTTCCTCCTGTGTTTACTCCTTTTTAAAAAAAGAATTTAAAAAAACCTATATTGTTTGTGTGCATGCATTTTTAACTTACATAAATGCTGTTGGGCTATTGTGTTTTTTATTTCTCCAATCAGAGTGAATTTTAAAGACTTAGTCACTTTTCTTTGTGAACTCTTATTCTTTCTCCTTTTATTTTCCTTTTGTCCTATTTTCTTCTTTTATCCATCTTTAATTTTATATTCTCTGTGTGTATATATGTTTATAAGCCATATTATATTCTTTTGGGTATAAAATGACAAATACACACACACAGATACATACTGATATATACATGAAATTTATATCTCACACTGGTAGGAAGAGGAGTTGGGATCCCAAGAATTCTTCTGAATGGGTGCTTAAAGCCAAATGTTTCTGCTACTATTTTTCTACATATATATTTTATTTTTCCTCCTACTTGGGAGAAGCTGAAAAACATGCATTATATCTTTTCTTTTTGTACTTTCTAGACTAAAATCTCTTATTATTGAAAGCATGAGCTGGGTCTTTGTGTAGTGCCTCTCCTCCTGATGGACATAATAAAAGGGGAAAACTGATAACAACATGCTGATTATTTTGAATATAGAAATGCCCTATTGGTCAAACACTGTCTTTTACTTTTGCCAACAGAAGTTCATTGGACTTATCCCTAATCTCAAGTGCTTGATGTCTATTTCTGGACGTGTCCTGTTCTAGCCATCCAAGTCCCCAGTGATTGTCCTTAGGTCCAAGTATCCCTCTCCCACTTGTATCCACATTATCCAGCCAAGGCTCGCGGAGCTGCCCAGGTTTCCTGTCCTACCCCTAACAGTGGCCCAGAGTATCCTGCTGTCACTGTGCCCGGAGGCTTCCACTGACCAGCCTTATTCCCTGTGGGAGTAGAGAGGTTGTGGTGACAAGAGAGAGGGAATGACCAGCCACGTATATCACAGGGTTTTTTTGGGTTTTTTTGTATCACAGTTTTGACTGCCAAAGATGGAAGACACACAAATGGAAATGAGACTAAGGATGAATAGACAGGGAGATGCCATTCCCTTCCATAGAAACATCCTTCTGTTTCCCTTACGATACAAATATTCTTGCCTCCATGGCTCCCTCATGACAGGGATAATAAAGACATTAAAGTCAGAGAAGCAAACATTAAGAAGAAAAACAGAGTCAGGAGGACAGTTCAAGTCCTATCCTTTCAGAGATGATCAAACAGCTCTAGAGAGGGTGTGACTTACGAGATTGCATCCCAGCTCCTAGGCAGTGGCCAAGTGAGGTTAGCATCCTCCTGAGTACTCAGGCCACCAACTAAGGTTAGTGAGCACTTACTTCAGATTGTCTGCCTTCGTGGTATTATCACTATGCATATGTTCAAGTTAGGACGCTCGTGAGAAATAATACAAGGGCAGTGGTGACATGGATTTTGTTGCAAAAGAACTTGGAAAATTTAGCTGGAAATGGTGAAATAACATTGTAAAGCAGCCTCTGATAGGCCCAAAGAGAGGTAAAAATAATAACGCCAGGGAAATTCAAGGAAAGTATGATTCATGTGGGCCAGGTGGTAAGAAAGGCCTTACTAAAGGGCTGAGTCTTCAGCTGTCCCTGGGTAGAAAGTGTGGGTAGGTGTGGGAGATACATTCCCAGGGTAATTGATACTCTGTGCCACTCCTAAACACCCAGGTTCCATTCCTGACACACATACACCTGACAGTGGTTAAGAGCAGCATTTTGGAAAACGACTGGGCTGGAAGGTGAGCACGAAGCCTTGAGACATCAACTCGGGTATGTGTGGAGGTAGTGGAAGGCGCCACTACCTGAAACGGCCTTCACCCGTGGGCCCAAATGAACCTCCACCAAAACGTTTTTTGTACCATGTGCTCCTTTGATAGATTCCCCAAAGCACAAGCAGATCTGGTCCCCAGTCAGAAGTATGTTTTGGATTTCTAGTTCCTAAAGGAAATGTGAGTTTCCTGCTTGGCAGAAGTTATAGCACCACCTTGTGGAAATACATGGTTTTGATCACAAGCCTTTTCGTTCTGAAAATATTAGCTGTCTTTTTAAAAAAATCAACCTTGAAATGTATTCTTGGCTCTAAATCATTCTTGCAATATACAATTTGTGAGTAACAAAAGGTTTCTCATATATTATAAACCTTTGATGGCTGAGTTAGCAGCTCTCTCTGTGACAGATCTTATTTTCAGAATAATCACACATATTCAGGATCCATATTCTCTCCGTCTGACTTGTTTCTTTTAAACTGTGTGTTCTCAGGTTTGGACTGTGACCATGTTTGAAAAGATCCTGTCTTCTTTGAACTGAGCAAAGTAACTCTAAATCCCCAATGAAAATAAAGGACAATAAAGAGAGAAACCTACTGGGTGCCATGGCTCCTTTCTGTCTCCTTCATAGGAGTTGGGCAAAGGGGGTCCCTTAATTTTTAAGAAGCTAAAACACTGTAATGGGGAGCTCAGAGAGGAATTCATAGCTGCCAGGAACTTACAGAATCATTTCCTAGAAATTTTATTGAGTCCACTAAAAAAAATAATAATCCCTGGGAAAACGTTTCATTTAGAATCATAAATTCACTGAATCGTTGAACAGTGAATGAGACTTTTAAATTCTCTGCCCTCCAGTGGAGGGAAAATGCCCAATCTTCCCAGCTGTTCTTAACCTTGTTTTCCTCTACATCAAATGAGGCACTGCTGTCCCTGTGAAGGTTTGGGGCTTAACTGGGCTGCCCTCTACACAGTCTCGGGCTTCCTTAGAGGTTAAGGTTAGTGCACATTTGGCAGAATTTTAAAAATCTGTTTTAACTTTTTCAAAAATCGTGTTTTGAAAAAGTTACACATGGGCATTTTCCAAAATTTAAAAGTACAAAAGGATGCATTTTTCCTTTCACACGTGTCCCTCAGCTATCTAGTTCCCTTTCCTGGACACGCCAATATTACTCCAAGCTGCTTGGGGAATGCTTCCAAACATAGTCTGTGCTTATAGGAACATATTACACCAATGATAGCCCACAATATATTTTGATACTGCCATTTTCCACTTAAAAATATAGATTGAAGATTGCTCTATAAAACCAGCACATAAAGGGCCGGCTGAGTGGCGCGATGGTTAAGAACTGGCCTGGGACGCCAGAGGGCCCCAGTTCGGATCCTACATATGAGGGCCAGTGACACTGCCCTCCACAGCTAAGATGCTGAACAACAGTTCAACCTGGAGCTGGGCTGCCGTGAGTCGCCGGCGACAGCGTAGGCTGCAGCCCCTGTGGCAGTGGGTTGCCATGGGCTACCGTATGTAGCCAGCAGTCAGCGGGAGCGGCCAGCAGCCGCAGTGAGCGGCATCCAGAAGCTGGCGACTGATCTGCCTCGCCCGGGAAGAGCGCAATGATGGTGCCAACTTGGGCCAGTAAAGCAACGTCCTCCACAACTAGACTGAAGAACAAAACGACAGCAACTTGTCTGTTCCCCTTCCCCAATTCCCCAGCACTGTCCCCATCCCCCCAATTTCCCAATAAAAATCTTTAAAAAAAAAAAACCAAAAAACTAGCACATAAAGAGCTTCCTTGTTTGTTTTTCAGCTGTACAATATTCTGTTGAATGGATGTAGCATAATTTAGCTCACCAGTCTCCTACTGAGGTTTCTAGTAGTCTGGCAGTCTAAACAGCGCTGCAATGAATGACCTCTGTATGTTTCTTTGCACATGGGCCAGCCTACCTGTAGGATGTATGTATTTCTGGAGGTGGAATTGCTAGGTCAAGTGCTATGTGCATTTATAATTGTGGGAGACACTGATGAATTGTTCTCCCAGGAGGTCATTTATACCAAATTGCAGCAACGTTCTACACCCCATGTTCTCACTAACTGTGTTTTTAAAACTTTTTAATCTCTGTCAATCTGATAGTAAAATAATGGTGTGCTAGTGAGTTACTGTTGTTGCAGTTTTTGCAATTTTCTTGTTATAAATTTGATGATCTGAACTCAGATTTCTCATGAGGCGTGGTCACCTACTCAATTCTCTTTCTCCAAAGCTACCATGGCAAATACATTGCTTTTGAATAGGTAAAATGGCTCAAATCTCTGGCAGCTTTCAAAAGTTCTCCCTCCCTGCTGATCCCCAGCGGTGGATTTGCCATGACACTAGCAAAGTTTAAGCTTCCGAGTCCCTCCCAAGAGCCCCTCCCTACCAGTCATTAGTATGACTAGTAATTTTGTAGTCATAAATTCACATTCTCTTCCTTAAAGAAGCTGGCCAAAATGTTATAAGCTTCGGACCTGGTTATTCTCCTGCTTGTCACCGTCGCCCCAGCTTCCAGCCTCTCTCCTTGGCTTCTTACGTATCCTTCCAGAATTATTTTATGTACTGTGAGTGCGCACACCTATAGATTATCCACCCTCTTACTATTTCACTTGCTTTTCTCAGTGCATCTCAGAGACTTTTCTATGTAAGATATGGAGAACACCCATATTGTTTTTTGTTTGTTGATAACTGCATGACATTCTGTTGCATGGAGGCGCTGCTCTTTACTTAATCAACCCCTATTGCGGGAACTTAGTTATAATTGTTTTGTTTTTGCCATTTTCTTAAGTCTCCTGGCAGGTTTCAGAGACTTCAGTGGTAGCTAGAAATCTGGGGTGGCCACAGGTTTCTGAAGAGGTAAGGATTACAACAGGTGAAATAGCAGGGGGGGGAGGGTCTCAGCCCCCCTTAGTCCCCACCGTCTTTGGTATCTAAGACTCTTAATGGTCATCAAAACAGGTCCCCTGACCTGCTATTCACAGCCTAGCATAAATATGTGCATCTGCATGTTAAGTTTATCTTTGATTGTGAAACAAAACATCTTGCTAAAGAAATTCTGAGAATCAGAAGGCAGGAGGGAGACATCATTGTAAGCCTAGGCTGCCTCTAAAATCACCCTGACTCGGTGGGGGTTTGACCACAGGTCATATGACTCTATCAGCAGCATTGCTCCAGCCCAGAAACAGATTCCCACTGCACACGCACTAACCATCCTGCTGCTCTGTCCGGTGGAGAAAGGTCCACAGCCCAGGCATGGAGTGCTGGATGCCTTCTGCACTTAGCTTGGACTCTTTACCAACTTCAGTCACTACTTCCTTCCTGCTCTCCAGTTCAGTGCAAACACCACAGGGGTGCCATTTTGGATACCTGGAAGTGCAACCTTTCCACTCTTCACATCTTGTTAGAGTATCATCTGTCCAATCTACCTTCACAGCCTACGTTTTGGGAAGAAGGGATCACATACCTGTCTAATTACATTACCCTAAATCTAACCCTTTTTCTCAGGTATGCCTTTTGTTCACTGTCCTTTGGCTCTCCCCTGATACCATCCCTAGAACTGAACTGTAGTGGGTTTTAGTGAAAGCATTCACATTTCAAGTCCTCTATCTTTTTCACAAGGGGTTAAGAAAATAATACATAGGGAAAATAGGGGAGAAGAAAAAAAAGAAGGTGAGAGAAGAGAGTGGATGAATCTCTATGCTGTAGGACTATGAGTCATGCCTTGCACTTCACTTCAACTTAAAAAGCGTTGACATTCATTTTACCTTTTTAGGAACCCATGACATCCCCTCGGCAAAGATAGGGTGGGAAGTATCTTACCACCGTCCTACACGCGTGGAAGCAAAACAAGGATACAGCTGACCATGGCGTACCTGACCCCAGGGCTGCAGAATTCCCCACTATCTAGAGATTTGATGGTTCAGGGCTGACACTGACTGGGTCCCTCAGAAAGTGATCTGGGGAGCAGTGTCAATTCAGAGCCTCTCTAATGCAGTGGGGACTAAGGGATTTGTCTTGAAACTTTATTTGGATTGTGCTTCACATAAACTTGAACAAAACCCTGTTGTGTGTATTAAGGCAAGTGCTGCTGACGGAGCTCTGGGAAGGAGGACCTAGTTTCTCTCTTCCTCCGCTCAGCACCACCACTTCTCTGGCGCTTCACGGCTGTCCTGAAGTGCCCGAGAGCTAAAAGCGCGGAGCCTCTGATTCCTTGCGGCAGATACTGCTAGATGTTTACTCAAACTATTTCTTCTTATTCTTGGGAACACAGAGAAACCACATTTCCCAGACTTCCTTGCATTTTTTTGTTTGACCACATGACTAACTTTTAGCCAATGGGACGTGAGCAGAAGTGCTGCCTCCAATTTTAGGCTAGGCCCACAAACGCTTCCATTCTTTTTCTCCTTTCTACACACATGACAACCTTGGGAACCACATGGAGATGATGACAGATCCACAAGAAGTAAGGACACTAGATCCAAGTCACCAATTGATGGCTAACTGCCTGCTGCTCAGGAATGCCAGCTCTGAACAAGAAAAGAAATGTGCGCCCTGGTACAATCTGAAACAGTCTAACAAAATCCTAAAGGCTATGGGGAAATATGCTCAACAACACTAGAAAGTATCCGTCTTTTTATTTTTATCCATCTGGGGGAAAAAATGATATCTCGTGCTTTACAATTCATTTCTCTAATTACCCAAGGGCTGTACATCTCTCATCATATTCTTTAGTGGTTTTCCCTTGTTGTACTGTGCATGGTTCATTTGTCTCTACTTAGATCTAGGTAATTTTTGCCAATTAAAAAGCTGACTTATATGTTACTAATTTGTTCATTAGTGCATTAGTTCATATACACAACATATACACTCTATCTATCTATCTATCTATCTATCCATCCATCCATTCATCAATCAATGAAACTCTGTTGGCTACATTTTTATCTTTTGCTTAAAATGGATTTTCCAAATATTTGGGTTGATTTTCCTGAGCCGTACTTAACTATAGACAGAAAAAAGACTAGTGTGCTTAGTGGCCATGGGTGTGGTTTCTGGAATCAGGCCGCCCTGGATTAGAGCCCCGGTTGCGTCACACACTTGCCTATAACCATAGGGAGGCTCTTACGTCTCTGTGCCTCTGCCTCCTTTTCGTTTTGTTTGTACAATGACCGCAACAAAAATACTAAGAGAATGTTCATGAAATTTAGACAAGATGATAATGCAGGTATCTCACCACAATGACACTGGATATTAAAATTATTATTACAATGATGGCAACAGGGGCACAGAATTAGACATTTAAGTTTTAATCCAGGTGCTAGAACTTTCTTTCTTAGTGAAAGTTACTCCTAAGAAGATCTAAGAAGGCTAACAACACTTGTTTTTCTTAGGGTGGGCACTGCACCTCATGTTTCAGTCAGCTGCAATCCCTATTTCCTAGAGCACTAAAATATTCAACTCATTTATTAATTCAGCAGTTACTCCTGAATTCCTACTGTGTTTAAGGCCCAAGATATTCAATTATCTTTAAGGGTCCATTTCCTTTTTTCTGCATAAAGCTTATTCTATAGTCCTTTGAAAAACTGAAAATCCAAATTACAATGCAATGTGAGGAAACCAACAGAGAGACAGAAAATTGGAAAACAAGAAAGAACCTTAAAGATTGCCAACTTTTCATTTCAGAGATGAGGACACCGAAGGCCAGAGAAGTTGAGCAACTTTTCTAAGGTCACACAGTGAATTAGTGGGGGAACTGGGATGAGAACTCAGACATCTGGACTCTGAGCCAGCACTCTATGGACTAAATCATCCTGTGCTTAAGGATCCTTCCCTTTTTGGGGCCCAACATGATTTCAAAAATTAAAAGCAAAGAAAGAGGGAAGCACAGGTTTAAAAAAGATCAAAAGTGAACCAGTGCTACTCAGTATTAGTCAAGAAAGCAAGGAGTGTAAGATCTTCCCCTGCAGGTTGGAGAACATGGTCATGTTTTCACCCAGAGGGACGGCATTCCAACTCCCCTTCTGTTTCTGTCTCAGCAATTAATTAACAAGGAGACTCCACACTCACAGCAAACAGTAAACAACAATCTCACAGGTCGGTGGTTGGCAATTCCTGGTCCACATGCTGAAGATGCTTCAGGTGCCAATTTCAGGCGGCAAGTGAGCCAGCTACCACATACACGTTCCCACCCCTATCATTTCCAGTGTTTACTGTCCATAGTGGTCCCCACCCTCTTGCCAGC